TTTCAATGTGCACGAATTCGTGCACCGGGCCTCCAGTATACATTATAAGCAAGAGATTCATACCCTCAGTTAACTCATAACCTTGTTTTAAGTTTCACAGGAAATGTATCGACAGCTGGTTATTGCACAAGAGCAACGCCTGCCCCATTGACGGACAAGTCATCTACAACCCTCTGCTCTGGAAAGACACAGCCGTGAACGGACGCGGACACCGCTCCGTCCCAAACACAGGGGCCGCCTACCTGTCGAAGCAGGAGCAACCAGGGCTCTTTGTTCCTGGTACCGGGTTAGTCATAAAACAACACGGAGCTGGGACTTTGCCTAGCATCCACCAACGTAACTCTGAAACGTCAAAGACGCCTCAGCGTCCCACAGACATCCACCAGGAAATGACCACAGGTGACCTGTACGCTATCAACGTAGACGATGCAAATTCAAGAAGATTAATCTACGAGTATAAAATCAGGCAACACTTCCCCCGGTATTTTCACGATTTACCCACAGGATCCTTTGGGAGAATACCATCTCAAACATTTCTTCCTTCTATCGCTCGCGAGAATAACATCTGTCCCCCTGGAACGGGAGGCCCCCGGGTCAACGACGCCGGTCAAAGCCAGAAGCTGACCAAAGGCTCTCAACGTATCAACCACAATCTGAAGAAGATTCTTGGTGCCAACATCAGAGAGGAAAACAGGAGACCAAACACCTCCAGAAGATTCCGATCTTATTGTCAGTTGGGGTACAACTGAACTTGGTTTGTCTACGAGGTGTGCTAACTGTGTGAGGAAACTTAGAAATAAATGCCATCATCAGTCAAGAAGGCCTGTGCCTCACCCTTTATATAAAACATTGGAAGGAGTTCAGTTATCAAAATACACGTTTGGCTAACATCAGAATTTTCTAATATCCGGATATTGAACATAAAATGTTTTCTTTGTAGAACATAAAACAATACTTTGACAAATGGGTATAAAATTCTCTGTTGTCATTTTGCCTATTTGTCCATGAAGAACTAACTACACATAAAGGAAATTAGTTCACTCTTTATAAGACTTAAAGTGTTAGGTGTTTTGATGAGTATGTTCAGGATGTTATGAATTATGAATATTTTTTGAACTTTTATATCTGACTTTATGCTGATTAAAACAATTATTATTACTTAAATGAAGGAAGGAGATTTTTCTTGTATTGAATCACTATTTTCAAACGTTCCACTGGATAGCATAGAATGGGATTCTTTCCACATACGTGTGGGATGCTCGTAGAGAAAAACAACAATGCCGTAAAATTTACTTTCCGCTCAAAGAAAGATATAGACAATATCCCTGTACTAGTCGAACTTATTAATGATAACTCCGCCACCACTGAGTTTTCTTACCACAGTAGTAAGCTACACAGAGAACATTCCACCCACAGCCTGCCCAGAATAGTGAATCTGTGTACCTTTCTGTAGGACGTTCGGATGGTCAGAGAGCAGGGGAGCTGACAGAGCCCACAGCAAACACGTAAACGTGGGTGACTGTCTTCTCCGTGTCCGAGGGTCACAGCCACGACTCCCGGGAGCGTGCTCACCGCCCGGCTGCCTGAGGCAGACGCGCCGTCAGCCCCGAGGTTTAATGGGGTCCGCGGGCTGAGAGCCGGCACCCCGTGAGCGGGAAACTTCCAGGAAACCCCTGGGAGCCGGCGGGTCCCGCGGGGCGGTGGGCTGTCGTTCACAGCCACGGCGAGCGTGGGTGTAAAGCCAGGAAAGACAGGTCCAACCAGGGAAGGTTTTGTCCACAAAGGGAACTGCCCCATTAATTTACAGCTCAGTTAAGTCAAATACTTTGGCCAATGGAATGTGGGCAGAAGTGATAGCATGCCATTTCTTTTTAAAGATTTTTAGAGAGAGAGGAATGGAGAAGGAGAGAGAGAAACATAGATGTGGGAGTGAAACATCAATTCGTTGCTTCTCATACACGCCCCCTGGGGATCGAACCCGCAACCTTTTGGTGCACGGGATGATGCTCCAACCAACTAAGCCATACCAGCCAGGGCCAAGGCCCTGCGCCACTCCCCCCTCTGACTTCTCAGTGAGCCAACACAG